GATGTTGTATATTTGGTTTCAAACCAAATATACTATTATGGTTTTTAAACACATAGTACAGTTTTTTTGTGTAATTATAAATTTTTACATTAGATTGAATGAGATTGAAGTAGACTTGTACGGATAGGCACGAGCCCGTTGCTGGCAAATAAAGTTGGAGATGATTTAAGTTGAGGCAAGCATCCAAAACAGATAGGAATGTTATGATCCAAAGTTGCCAAGAGAGATGGAATTTGTGGTGTGGACCCATTTCTTCTATCCTCCTCTCTTCATCAATATCTACATCCTCTCTCTCTCTCTCTCTCTCTCTCTCTCTCTCTCTCTACATACACACACTTAGAACCAGAGACGTCGTGCTTGAAGGCTATGTCACACTCAAAGTAGATAGCCTCCAGGTTGGCATTCCCACAAGATATATCTTATTCTTACGTGTAAATTCAATCACACTTTTTCTCTTTACACACACCAACGTCATTACAATTTGAGCATCTTAAGTTTACATAGATAACTTAAATATCATGACTAAGACCAAATGGTGAAGTTGATATGAGTGGTATTGAGCTATCGTTACTCATTAAGCAAGTGATTGGATATTCAAGTCATGTTTTTTATACATGTTGCAATTTAATTGGGAAGAGTATATCATTTATTCTTAGTATTTTGTAAGAGAAAATCTCTAATATTATCTTTAGTCATGGGTGAGTTTGAAATTTTATAAAACCATCTAAAGTTCTTATTTGATGAGTATTCATTTTTAAACATTAAAGAAGATCCCCTAAACAGCAGGAGCTAAGGATGAATTATTCAAGAAGATTGGTTTAATTTATTATTAGTATTTGTATCATTATATTAAGATAGGATGGTGTACTAGAACACCCCAGTACTTATCACCCTCGGACAAAAGGTAGATTGATTGTTTGTCTTTGTAATACTGATCGTTTTTATAAATATCAGTTCTCCTAGTTTCATAGTTAGTGTTTGTTTGCTCAGTGAATTTTTGATCAAGTTAGCAAGATAAATTGCGATTTGGGTAATCAAACTGGTGCAATAATATTCTAAATGGGCCTCTGTGAGTCTCCCCAACATGCCAATGTCATTTTGGCCGGGCCTTCTACTGCTTATTCTCAGCCAAATAAAAGAAAAAGGAAAAAAAATGAAATAAAGTTTGCTTATAATAAGAGAGGCATTTGGCAGTTAACAATATACCCAAAACTACCATTATTTGAAGATAGCAATAAATTCAAGTCAGACAAGCAAAAAGAGATCCCAAATTGTCACCAACAAGTTACAATGAAACCGCATCAGTAATCACATCGATAAGCTTATGTTATGTCCGATGTTGAGTCAATATAAAATCTGTTACATTGTCTCTGTGAATTCCGTTAAAACGACACTGGGTCCCACAGACATCTACCAAACAGAGCAGATCAGATCACCTACGAGTTTGATCCTCCAAGGAAAGTACAACCCCAACATGCTCACCAAATTCAAACATTTTTCAACTATTTAAAGTTTAAATTTTTGTTAGGAATCGCTTTTCATAGGAGGGCATTGTCAGCAAAAAAAAAATTTTTTTAATTAAACTTTATTTACATCAATCAATTAATAAAAATTACTGAACATGAACATGTGTGTTTGTACGTATGTCTGCCACTAAAAATAACCCCAGCTTTTATCTCGTAAAAGTTATATGCTCGTAGTTTTTATTTAACCCAAAGATTAATGGTTAATTGATTTGGGCTATTCGTTGAGAGTTTGAAATCTTGGATTCATTGTACTGTTTAACGATCAAATTTCCTTCGAATAATAAGTCAATTGGTATTTAAAAAAAAAAGAATCAAATTTGTCTGAGACAATTATTTGAGACTGAACTGATGGATTTATTTCAAGATAGTGCGTGGCATATATAAAAAAGGGTTCTATCACATTAATTGATGCTTCGAGTTTAAGTTTTGTCCCAAAAATTGGTTGGTGCTCCTTTCATATTATGCCCAAGTTTGTCCTCATTCACCCAATTATACCTTCATGATTGGTGCTTAACTAAAAATTGAAAACAACACTGTATATAATAGCTACCTGTTTAGAAGCCCCCCCCCCCCCCAAAAAAAATGGAACTACTCTGTCTGGACAAAATGCCAGGTAAATGACTTAAATAATTAGTTCTATTTAAAAAATGGTGAAAACTAAAGAAAAAAATTCTTCTAATGACGTTGTACTTAGTGATTCAATAGCTAGTTAGCAGGTCCTATCTCAAAATATTCCATTAATTTTGATTGTCAGTCCTTCCAATTATTGCGATTAATAATCAGCAGAAAGTGGGCAAATCCCTATTTCTAGCTAATTTTATATAAGAAATTTTTAAATAAATTCAGTGCACCATGTCATTCATGGTTTATTTGATAAAATTACACTTATTCAATCAAATAAAATTTTATACATCATTAATTTAAATGTATTTGTTTTCATAATAAAATACTTATTTAATTTCTTATATTTTTTCTTTCTATCATCATTAATGTTAGAATCAATATATATTTAATGTCATATGAATTAATGGACTAAATATGAATTAATGGACTATGTATGACATAATATACCAAGTTCAGCTAAGAATTTTCCCTCGTGATAATCAATAATAAGTCCAAAATCATGAGTCATAAATTAATTTATATTTCTTGTACTAAAGAAGGGTTTCGCCCTAATATTGAGGATTTGGAGAAAGGGAAACCACCACGAGTTTTTCTCAATTTGCGATTATCATTTATTTAAAAATGACCTTACAATTTTAGTCGTTCTCCTTAAAAATGTTGATACACATACTTTGTCTGATCCCTAGCTATATCATACTATATTCTGTATATTTAAATTTATATATTGATATCTGAGTATTTTTATTTATGATTTTTTTGTCGTCAATAGTGTAACTCAGTTAGATGACAAAAAACTTAGTTAAATTATAAAATATATTGTTATGCCTAAAAATATCTAAATAACATCTCATGTTTTTCTTTGAGAGAAAGTAGTGAATATATATAGTAGCACTCTGAATTATATATGGTTTACTAAATTTACAATAATTTTTTTTAAAGGATCCAATCTCTATCTATTTTTCTTTTTTTAAAAAATAATTATTTGATGGAGCTTAGATTTTTGAGAGTTATGGTTGCAAAATCACGTAGAATCTAGAGTGAGAAGAAAGAAAGACTATTGATTGTTAAAGAGACAGAAGAATATGAATTTTGCACGAACTTTTACAATTTATTTAATTTTTTAACCCTGTATATATAAGAACTTTACAATAAATATTTATAACAATTAAAACTCTACAATCAATAACTTGAGAGGATTTTTACGTCATGGAAAAAATATTAGACCAGAACCAGACCAGAGTGGCCATGTACTCTGGTGTTGACAAAGTTTATGAAAAAAAGAAAAACCAAACCATTGCGTATACTCGTCTCACTTTTTCGTGATTTAATCATATCTCACGTAGCCGTCACTAAAATAAATATATATTGGATCGAAATTGTGTAGCCTTAATTTATTTTGAAATATTTCTTATAGCACATGAAAAGATATACAAAATGGATATCTTATGCTTTGCCACCCTTATCCAGTCATGCATTTGTGTTTATCTTATAATTCGTCTACTTTCTCAATCAAAGCTTGTGTGGACCCTCTAAGAAAAGTGGCCCAGATTCTTTTGAATAAATGAACATGTACATGTATTTGTCCATAAAATACGCAAATATAAATAAATAAATATATATATATATATATATATTTCTGATATTTGTGAGCTAGGCAACTTGACAGGAAAAAAAAAAGATATAGATCTAAAGGACAATATATACAACTTAATTAAATTCTCATTTCTCAACTTATATTCAAATCAGAACTCGTATATAGATTATTGGGTTAGCCAAATAGTTTTTCGATCAGTCGGTTTCACTTTCAACTTACATTACATCATGTACGAAATTGGTAGTCTGGGTCATTGGCAAACACCAAAAAGTGATTTTTATTGGTGTCTGAAACTCGAAAGTCTCTGTATTTGGTGAGAGGGAATTAAGTTCTCAGAAATCGTCAGGTATTTGGACTTTCATTGGCTCTTTCACTTCGTATTTAATTTTCTCCTCCTAACTTGACGGTTTTTCCCCTTATTTAATAATTAAGATATCGAGAATCAGGACGAAGAGTATTATTAACAATAAGACCAATAGCAGCTTGTGATAATAATATAAACATGTTTCCCGTCCACACAAAAAAAAAGAGCATCTTGGTTGAATTGTTTAATAAACGCCGCACATGACTCAGCCAGCTGTGCTATATTGAAAATATCGTTCAAATTCAAACCCTTTGTTTCTTGTTCCTTCTGTTTTGTTTCTTTTTAACTGATACGAGTCATGGCGTATACTATATAATAATAGAAGGCACTAGGTAGCTAGCTCTCACAAGTTTCAGATCAGCTAAGCTACTAAACTATTCAAATTTAGATCACCACGAATAATAAAGTAGAACGAATTTCAATCTGCAGGCAAAAAATCAACGTTTAACTGATGTAAATAAGAACATATTGCAGCTATAGGTATAAGGTGATTCATGTTTAATTGCTCCAGATGTTAAATTCTTCTGAGTCAGATTTAAAAAGGCACTTTTAATATCTTGGGTCACCCGCAAGAAAACGAACTAGAATGGGTAGGAGAGGCACGAACCATATCCAACCCACTGAGCCTAACTGCGTGTTACACTGATAAACTCAGTCTAAAAGTAAATAACAACAACAACAATTAATAATAATAATAATATATACCTGAGTTTGGGATTTTAGTTTCTGAGTCGTTGTAAAACTGCATCGACGTGGAAATCTAATCATGGATATATTCAACTCACTCTTCCCTCTATATTATTCTATCTCTACCCAAACCCAAACCCAACCAAACTCATCTACTTCCAGACGCAACTTTCATATCCCCTGTGCATATATATATATATAGCTATAGCTGTCACCATATCCTTCAATGCTCTCTATCCCACTCTCCTTCATTTGATGATAGAATATGGGTGATAACAATAAGAGAGGCGTGTCTTTCTTCTTCCTCCTGGTTCTGGTTCTGTGGTGTTCGTCGTCGTTTGGGTTGGGGAGGGTTCCGTTTGCATGCGACCCAAAGAACGGGTTGACGAGGAGCTTGAAGTTTTGTAGGACGAACGTGCCGATCCATGTGAGAGTGCAGGACCTGATCGGAAGGCTGACATTGCCGGAGAAGATAAGGCTGGTGGTGAATAATGCGATTGCGGTGCCGAGGCTGGGAATTCAGGGATACGAGTGGTGGTCGGAGGCGCTTCACGGCGTCTCCAATGTGGGCCCAGGCACCAAGTTCGGTGGGGCCTTCCCTGGCGCCACCAGCTTCCCTCAGGTCATCACCACCGCTGCTTCTTTCAACCAATCTCTCTGGCGCGAAATCGGACGGGTAAGATTTCTCTCCCTCTCCCAAAAAAGAGCAATTAAAAATAAAAAACGGAAGATATTCCTTCCACTCCATTGGCCGCTCCTTCTTCTTCTCTTTTTTCTAATCCAAATATTCGTCCTTTTCTTTTCAGCCATACATAATTTATTAATTATCCATTAATAAATATGCATCATATTCCCATTGAATGCATGCACTAGAACCAGATGGCAACGATTTTCCCCTTTGACTACTATATAGATGTGTGTGAAAAATTGTATTTTTATTATATGTTTACAGTTTAACATTTTATATATGATTGAATTGTTCAAGTTCAGAATTTTGTTTTTGTCAATATATTTGTTAAATATGTGGCTAGTTTTACTTCGTTACTTATATTTAGAATACTAGCTAGGACAACATTTAATTAATTAAATCAATAAAAATTGGTAGAATATTCTCAAAATTTTAATTGTATAATTTAAAAATAACATTGATAAAAAAGATCCAGTTATAGTGACTTTAAAAATGAAATGAAATTATGGCTAGAGGTCCAAACACTCACACACAGTGTTAATAATAAGCGGCATATTAAATTTAAGCATGAAGACTACCTTGAGGTGTAAATTTAATTTTTAGAGTAGTTTTTAAACACTGAATCAGAGATAAAACCTAAAAGCAACTTTCATGAATGTGCGCGTGAAAATGAAATAAAATGAAAGGTTGTTAATTAATATTTCGTTCCATCCCATCCCCACGTGTGATGTGAGCCATGCACATATAGGAGAAAATTGATTGCGAGATTGTTGTAACTTTTTTTTTAATTTAATTTCTAGGGTTTTAATAAAAAAACGAGATTAGAGGTTGAAAGTCTATCAACGCAACAATAAAAATAACAAAAGCAATCAAAAACAAGACAACAAAGTATGCGTGGGACGGTTAGTCTAGGTTCGTGTGTGTTTACAGTACACTCACTTGTCCTTTCTGTTCAATTTCTTGGGTGGTTTGGTCTCTCGTGACATCATTACATTTATTATATAATTGATTGACGTCTTAAGAATGGTATAATACTAAGCTATAGGTGTACATGCTTATACATGCCTTCCTTTCTTATTTCATTACAGAGCTGTGGCGATACAGACAAGGTTCCCCCTTGGTTTATTATTTATCATTTATTAGCAAACTATTAAAATAAACCACGTCATGTGCAACCAACCAAGTTGTTGAAGTTTGAGCTCAAGATGCTTATATGAATTATTTAAATATCTCCTCACAGTTAATGATCATTTCTCTAACAATCAGGCATACTGCTGTACTGAACATTTTTATATACCCTCTCGATTTATTAACTGTGAGGAGATAATTTTTTTTTTGTTTTCATATCTTTTTTATTACGGGAAAGTCTTCAAGTTGCCCACTCAACTTGCAAAAAAAAAAAAAAACATTTGAATTATACGGTTTCCTTTGGAGATGTTTACGTCAGGCCATCAATATTATGGATCCTCTTTTTTCCTACATAATGTTATTTTGTTGAAAATCTATGATTGAACAGTGTAAGCCTTTTATGTATATATAAATATATATTTCCAATAAAGTGGAGTCATGACTGTGATATTCTTAAAAGTGATTTTGGTTGCCTTTGCTTCAAACGAGCTACAGCCACTAATAAGCTTATCACTTCCCCTGAAAGATGAGATGTATATAGTTATTGGCCAATCGGAACTTCTTTCTCAAACAAAAGGATAAATAATTATTGGAGGGACGTCAATATATATTCTGTAGCTGGAGAGGTATTATTAAGAAACACGCACGTTTTCACATTAACAAACACAAGAAGTTTCTTTACAAAATATTCGGGCGTTTGGCTAGACGACAATGAAAGGAAATGAGAAGAGAAGGTTGACCGTTGACGAAGACTCTGATGGATGTCGCAGGTTGTATCTGATGAGGCGAGAGCAATGTACAACGGAGGAATGGCTGGCTTGACATACTGGAGCCCTAATGTGAACATATTCCGGGACCCACGGTGGGGCCGCGGCCAAGAGACTCCCGGCGAGGACCCCACTCTCGCCGCCAAGTACGCCACCAACTATGTCCGAGGACTCCAGGACGACGGCCCCGGCAACCGGCTGAAGGTTGCGGCCTGCTGCAAGCACTACACTGCTTATGATCTTGATAACTGGAAAGGCATTGACCGCTTCCACTTCAATGCCAAGGTATGCGTACGTACCTACATATGTATAACGTATTCAAGCGCCGTGCCTTTTTTCTTTCTAATAAACTTGAAATGCATCTAGATGTATGCTCTGTGTGTGTGTTTAAAAGAAAAAGGGAAATGGGTTTATTATGTTTTCTCATCATGACACGGCTTGTGCAAGTTGTTGAAAGGGATGTTGGCCCACAAAACTTTTGAGTGTCGTTTTGTGCGAATTTGATGGCTTGGGAGGGATGGCGTCTACTTGAAAATGTTAATGAAGTTTTTTTACTTTGAATTTGGAGAAATAATGAAGCACAAGTTGGGGCGAGGGACGTTGAATTATGGTCCCGATGAAAATTCAACGATGGAAATTATGGTAATATGGAGTGTGGGGTGGTGCGTGATGTGATGCAGGTGAGCAAGCAAGACTTAGCGGAGACATACGACGTGCCGTTTAAAGCATGTGTTGTGGATGGAGGAGTGGCCAGTGTGATGTGCTCCTACAATCAAGTGAATGGGAAGCCCACTTGCGCCGACCCTGATCTCCTACGCAACACCATCCGTGGCCAGTGGAAACTCAATGGGTCAGCCCAATTCTAACTTGCCCATTTTATTATTTTAAATATTAATTAATTAATAATAATTTTTGCGTAATTGTGCTCATGAGAGATCTTTGCAAATTTTAATAATGGATTGATAAAAAAAATTAAAATTAAAATTTAAGTCTTGAAAAATCAAGAAAACGTTGTATAATTAATAATAATTATGGGTAGGCCATAAGTTTAGAAATGACATTATAGGATATGCTTGACATTATCTTACCTCACGATCAGGTACATAGTTTCGGATTGTGATTCAGTTGGGGTTTTATATGACACCCAACATTACACACAAACGCCCGAGCAAGCAGCCGCTGGTGCAATCAAAGCGGGCTTGGACTTGGATTGTGGGCCTTTCTTGGCACTTCACACAGCAGATGCCATTAAATTGGGCCACATCTCAGAGAATGATCTCAACCTTGCCTTGGCAAACCTTCTTACAGTCCAAATGAGACTGGGTATGTTCGATGGCGAACCCTCGACCCAACCCTACGGACACTTAGGCCCAAGAGATGTTTGCACCCCGGCCCATCAACAACTTGCCCTTGAAGCTGCTAGGCAAGGCATAGTTCTCCTACAAAACAAGGGCAACACTCTGCCACTATCCCCTACGCGTCACCGCACCGTAGCAGTTATTGGGCCCAACTCTGACGTCACTACTACTATGATAGGAAACTATGCCGGTAAGAAAGTAAAGTTAATCCAATTAAGTCGAGAACATATAAAATGCATACATATAACTTAACACATGGTTTAATGTAGGTGTGGCATGCGGCTACACGACGCCATTGCAAGGGATTGCAAGATATGTTAAGACTGTTCATCAAGGAGGATGCAGGGATGTGATGTGTAAAGGAAACCAGCTGTTCGGGTCAGCGGAGATAGCAGCAAGGCATACGGATGCGACAGTCCTAATAATGGGCCTCGACCAATCCATAGAAGCCGAGTTCAGGGATAGAGTTGGGCTTCTCCTGCCAGGCCACCAACAAGAGCTTGTTTTAAGAGTGGCCCAAGCTTCCAAAGGCCCAGTTATCTTGGTCCTCATGTGTGGTGGGCCTATCGATGTCACTTTTGCCAAAAATAACCCCAAGATCGGTGCCATTTTGTGGGTGGGCTATCCCGGTCAAGCCGGAGGAACTGCCATAGCCGATGTCCTATTTGGCACAACAAACCCAGGTACAGTATTAGCTAAGAACCAATTATACTTAAATATTTTTTTGAGTTTTGAAATTGATTATATAGTTATGAGGTCTTTATTTATTTATTATTTTAGGAGGGAAGCTTCCCATGACATGGTACCCAGAGCAGTATGTGGCGAAAGTGCCAATGACAATAATGGACATGAGGCCGAACCCATCAAGGGGGTACCCGGGTAGGACCTACAGATTCTACAAGGGCCCAGTGGTGTTCCCTTTTGGGCATGGGCTAAGCTACACCAGATTCAGCCACTCCCTATCCTTTGCTCCCAGTCAAGTGTCTGTTCCCTTGGCCAGCCCACAGGCTCTTACAAACTCGAGCACCGTTTCAAGCAATGCATTGAGGGTCAGCCATGCGAATTGTGATTCCCTGGAATTAGGATTCCACGTGGATGTGAAAAATGAAGGTGAAATGGATGGGACTCACACTGTTCTTGTATACTCGAAGCCACCTCCTGGGAAATGGTCTGACATGAAGCAGTTAGTAGGGTTCCACAAGGTTAATGTTCCTGCTGGGTCCAAGCAAAGAGTCAAGGTTGGAGTCCACGTGTGCGAGCATCTTAGTGTTGTGGACGAGTTTGGGATTCGAAGAATCCCAATAGGCGACCACGAGCTTCACATTGGTGATCTCAAACATTCCATTTCTGTCCAAACTTCCCAAGAAACCAACCCTTGAAACAAAAACACTACATTTGTCAACCCAACTGTTGATAAAGTTCTTACATGTTATTCCAGATTTGAAATGCCAAAAATAAATGTCATTCTCAAGTGTAGCATAGTGTATATGTGGCAGTTTGCAAGCAGTTTGTAAGATGGTCAAGTACGATGTCCACCAATAAAAAAAGAAAAGAAAAGAAAAGAAAGCGTGGACAGGTGTTGTTATTGTTATGTGCAGGTGAAGTAAGTCAAAGTATTTTTACTGCAAATGTAAAATAGGGGAAAAGAAGGTAAGTTTGTGAGCCAATAATGATGCAACAAATTGCATTATTGGCAAGTTGATGTGTTGATGAGTATTGATTGTATTTCAATTGCACTTGTGTATGCCGAAGCCCAAACAAATTAACAAGGCTGGGTTTTTCTTTCGCTATCTTGCATCCTTATTCTTGGACATCTGAACTTTCCTCTGCAAACCACGGCCAATAATGTGAGCACTTTCCCCCATGGCTAGAAATTGTACAATGTACTCATTAAGTCATTCTTATAGAGTGTTTTATAGAAATAAAAAGTGATCTCAATTATGAAGTGTCTTATAAAAATATGAAACAATGTTCCATTTTTTCCCGTTAGTTCTAATAGTACTCTTGAAACTTAAGAAAGCATAATAGCCTTATGCAAATATAGCAGTGTGTCTTTTTCATGTTTTAATTAGTAAGTGTCTTTTTACCCCTTTTTTTTTATAATAAAGTATTTATATCCCTTTAATTAATAAGAGTATGGTTGAAAAGTTTTAGTTTTTTGACCAATAAAACAGCACAATAACTTTTCATAATTTGCGCGAAAATTGATTTGAACACTTTAGGAGTACATGGGAGGATAACCAAGGTGAAATTAGTAAGTTGACCCTTAAATAAATGACTGTACTCCTTTTAATCTTATATATCAATCACTCCCTCAAATAATTTAATATTTTTGTATACTAGTGGTTTTGGCTGGTATTTGAGATGGAAGGACTATTCTATTATCTTCAATCTTATCCCTCGCACACTTTAAAATGTTAAACTTGTAGGTCACGTCATTTATTCATCTTGATTGGTTGTTTTGGCCACTTAATGTTTTCCCCCTTATGGGATTGTTCGCTTGTCCATCTTTCCATCTCAATTATTTGATTTTTTTTTTTTAAAGAGGACAGTCGTCCAATAATACTTATTCACCCACCCACATTTGTATTCTTTTTTCACGGAAAGAAAATCTACGCATTTTTCACAAGTTGTCCACTCTGAGCTCGAACGTGTGCCTCCTTTACTATAAGAGGAGTGTTGGTGCCACTGTAACACAAGGCCACTGGCTATCTCAATTATTTGAGGGCAAATTTAGACGAGAGAACATCGGAGAGGATAGTGTCATGATGCCAACTTGCCCAATTGGCACCAGTTGATTGGCTTATATGGTGTCCAACTAAGCTAATCTATCATGGAGAGTTTAAAATCTTTTCACTACAAGTGAATGTTTGATTTGACAATTTGATGCCTTCTTTTTGGGCCAACGTCCTTCGACTAGATCACTATAAACAGTTAAAATTTACAACCTCTAAGATGGACCGTTTGATATATATATATATATATATATATTTGTTTATATATTTGAGGGCAGTGCTCGTAATGGAACTGCGGCTTCACATGAGAGTTGTCATCCTCATTGTTGTACCTAATTTAACCTTGGTTAAAAAAGTAAATTGATCTTGAATTACTCATCAGTCAACGTCTAAGATTTTGTGTAATTTTTTCTTTTAATTTTTGAATATGATATAATATGACCTTTATTGTTAATAAAATATTAACTTTGACTGTTAATTAATTAAAAAAATACAAACAATGACCTCAAAATTTATAGAAAAAATATCAATAAATTTTTCTTAATTCTTTTTTATAATTGTTTATCCTTATCTGTAATTTTTGAGTGCTTTATTATAATTTTTTGTTATTTTCTGTAATCTTTGAGTCATTTTTTGTTATATTTTAGTCAACTAATGGTTAGTTAATTTTTTTAATGGTAGGAGCTAGATTATATTATTTTTAAAAATTAAAAAAAATATATTACATAAAAAATGAGTATAAGATTTTAGATATTTCTAGATTGATAGTTTAGGGGTTAATTTATTCTTTTAAGTTTCATCCTTTAACCTACATTATTTAAAGTTTTCAAAGTTTAACATTAACTTGAGTGATTTACTATGAAGGGGAAAAAAATAGCTGGATCAAGTCATGTCCAACTTACGTTACTGACTTGAACCTCACTTAAAATTTATTAAATATTTTCTTTAAGGTATTTGATGCTCGAAATATCTCGATATATTATTTTTTTTTTTTGTACGTATCTTTTTCTGGCCAACAACTTTATGTATCTTGTTGTTAAGCATGATTGTCACTTTTCGGATACTTCATTAATTGAGAAGATGAGAGTCCATGAAAACTTAAATCTATTTTTGTTTTTTTGGGCCATACTTTGTGTTTTAAGTGTCGGTCATCTTTCTCCCCAATGTGAATGTCTGCCCTCGCAATACAGGAGGACCTTGTTCTTCAATATTGTGCTCACGTCTTTCCAGCTCATGATTATGACATAAATAAAATATAACAATAAATCTGTGAACGGTTATGATCCAGTATGATCAGGAAATACTCAAGCTCTATTCTAATTCCCATCTCTTAATTATGATAAAAACATTATTTTTATTTTTTTCTATTTTCAATCTCTTAATTATGATTAAAAAACATGGTTTTTGTTAATTTTTTCTATTTTTGATTCTGAAAGCACATTAAAATAAAACAGCTTAGAGTATAAAGAGTTTTATTATTAAAAATAGTGACACTTATTTTAAATTCTGTGTTTTATGTGACTCACTAGTTGTTTTAAATTTGTTTAGCTCATACTACCCAAAAAAATTTGTTCATTTGATAAAAATTGAACTTGCACTGTTCTTAGTTTTTTAAATTATTTTTTTAGTGTCAAACTTAGGACCTCTAAATTAAATCCTCAAAGATTTATCATGAAGATGACATTTGTTGGTCGTTTTTTAAATTGTTTTGATCACGAAGGTATGTTAAAGGTATATTCTTAATTGTTTTTGTAAGAATAAGTCCATATATAGTATAGAATAGATAAATTATTCTTAATTGTTAACAATAAAGATGAAATTGCACCGTTTTCAAATGCTAAAAAAAATACTATATTAAAAATGAGTTTAGAATTTTATAAACTCTTAGACTCATAGCTTATGAATCAAATTGCCCTTTAACCTTGATGTCATGGATATTGGTTTTTAACAAGGTCATCATAAACATTGAGTCCAACATCAAAATAGATATATCTTAAAATTATGAAATGCTAACAACAAAACAAGGAAAAAAGTACGCATATAAAAGTACAAATTAATTAGAGTCGGTTTGGATTACATGGGTAAGATAAAATTACAAATCAATTAGAGTCAGTTTGGGTTACATGAGTTAGCTTGAATGACAAGTCGCAAGAGTTAAGTTGGGTTGGAAAAAAAAGTGATCCAAATAAAAATAATTTTTCCCCCCAAACCATATAACTTGTAAATCATATGGGTTAACTCTGATGGGTTATTGTTGGCTTGTTTAACTCATTATTTTTTAAAAAATGAAAAAAAGAGGAAAATTTTGTCACCAAAAGGGGGCATAAATCATATGAGGCATGGCTTGCTTAGCTGGCTTAATTCATATATTTTGTATAAATATTATGGGTTAATATTTTGAAAGAATTTCAACTAACAATCAGGGATATAATTTAATTACTAATGGGTTTTAAAAAAATCTAAAATTTCAGTTTAATATAGGAGGACTAAAATGAAAAAAAATTGATAGTAAAAAAATCAAAATATTCTTTACTTGTTATATAAAATTATTAATTGTTAACTTTCTTATTTCAATTGTTAATTTACCAATATGTGTTATAAATTAAATTAGTTTGTCAGATAAGCAGTAATATTAGTTGTTAATTTGCTAATTTTATTTATTAATTTACTAACATTAGCTATAAATCACAATGTTTGTTAACAAGTAAACTTAGCAAATTAACAACTAATATTGTTGCTTGTAATTAAACAATTCATGTCAAGTCTTGAATAATTATTAACATGTCAATTCATGAAATTTACAACCTATTTTAGTAAATTAATAAGTGAAATAAAAAAATTAATAATTTTGTATAATGAGTGAAGGGTGCTATGATTTTTTTTTTATTGTTGAACTTTCATATTTTTTGGAGATCAACTAGTAATTAAATCACATCCCCGATCCTTGATTAAAATTCTCCCAAATATTTTAATGTACTTTTAATAAATCATGAAAAAATACCATATTAAAACTCATCATTTAAATATATTTTTTAAAAAAATTCATAAAAAATAAATTAAAAAAGAAATAAATGAGTTGGTGAATTACTCATTTAATCCATCAATCCTCAAAAGTTAGGTTAAAACTTTTTTTTTTTTTGTAATGCATGTAAAGATAAATTGAATCTAACTCAATTCAAATTTTCCTTAATTTATATGATTTGAGTTGGTTCGTATGTACGACTCTAAAATCAACTATGAGGCAAATGGAGTGTGCTCGAGTTATAACAATGACACGGCTCCGTAGTCCGTAATCATTTGGGGATGCTCATGTAAATATGTGATCTTCATGTGGGCAACATCCTAACTCTACACGCAAAACACATGCTCGGGCCAGCATTATTGCATGCTGTACAATGTACATAAATAATTGAATAAACGTAAATACACCAACATGCATGTACTCATTGGAATCTTTAATATAGGGTAAATTTTGACATTTTTTAAACTTTTACTATATGAGGTAGGGAATTATTTTTTTTGTGGGGGGGGGGGGAAGATACTATGGGCAAGGTTAAAGTAATCAATATTTTTTTAAATTTTAGTGCTTATTTATTTACTATCATTTGAATTATATTACAATAATTTATTATAGTTATTAATCATAAATAAAAAATAAAAAAGTATATATTTTTTAATAATTTTAATAATATAATTATTACTTTTTAATATACATGAAATTAGTTAAACTTATATTGTATTAAAAATCAACATGAGTCCTTACATACAAGAGCTGAAAATTTACACAAATAAGCAGTTGTGAATTGTGAACGAGCGAATGTATGGCAGTGGGGACAGAAGAGATAAAAAAAAAAATCAAAAAATAAGGCTTATATAGACAATTAAAATTTGTTTTTGAAAATTAATATGTAATTGTAAATCTAAAACATTGCATATTGCAGACAAAGTAAGAGATAATTTATAAGTATTCATATTTAACACGCCTTCAGGTAAGACTATCTTCAATAACAAGAAGACACGCGTACGTGGGAAAAAAAAAAAGAGAAAGATAATTACTGATGGGAAAAGAGGAATAAGTGGGCGTGTTAATAAAAAAGAGGGAACTTGGAAGTGTCGGTAGCGGGATGATTGGCATGTGTGAGGATGTACGGTGCAGGCTAGGCCACGGACCAGCCGATGTTGATATCCTAACGGCTCTTTTCATCTCTCCTCCAATTCCAATCCTTTTTTATACAATATAAAAATTCAAGTTAATCCATGGGCAAACTATTAAATTAATATTTTATTTATAATTAATTTAATTATAGTTTAATTATAATTTTTAATCAACTCTTAAATTAATATTTTAATTAATTTGATAATTGATCTGGTTTTCAGTAACTATTTTTACCCTCTTCCCCCATTCTCTTTCTGTTTTTTATAAATTCAATTCTAGTTTCATTTTTCTTCTGCCCAGTTACAAACAAATTTTTTGAATAATAATAATAACAATAATTAAAAATAGGATTATAGAAGTCTATACTATACTGTCCACTGGAAATCTTCCACCTAACTCCTAAAACGCTTGCAAGATTGGATTTGTGTTGATAATATCCAGTCTTAAATATTTAATATGCAGAGTATTAATGCAAGTCCATTCCCGTTTCTCAATAGCTACTTAATACATTCAGGATTCATTCATATTCTTGTCTTACCATCTTACTCAACCTCCCCTCCTTCTCCTTCCTCTTCTTTCTTCTTTCTTTCACTTTCTCTCTCTTGCTCTGCATCTCAGATTCCTTCCTCTAACTCCAAGGTAATTTATCAACATCCTTTCTTTATGCTTCTTCTCCTTTTCTTATCTTTTATGTGATTCCCAATTCCTCTCTCTCTATCTTCCCCCTCTTATAAAAGCAATCACTTCCTGCTATTGTTTATTCCTTTCTTCATCGGGACTGCTTTGCTCTGTTCTGCTCTGTTCTTTCTGAGATTTTTTATTCCCACTTGCCGTTGCTTTTTACTCATCCATTTCCGAGGTTGTCTTTCAGGGATATATTGTAATCACAGAATTGAAAATTAGGGGGAATTTCTGAGCGTTTTGTTCTGGTAAAGCCTGATCGTTCGTTACTTCCACAGGTAAACGCTGAGATGGCAGGCTACAACAGAGACGAGTTTTTTGCTTCACAGGACCCTGAGGTACCACAACCCAATGCTCTCTGATCTTTCTTTTTTAATCCCATTACGCACATTCTCTAAATGGCTCACATGAAAATGATTAAATCTCCAGACCATGAGAAAGAAACAATCTTTGGCATTGAAATGAGGGTTCATTTTGCAAACTTTCAATTATGTTTTTGCGTACTTTGTTTTTAATTTTTTGGCCTGAATTCTTCATTTTATATATATTTCATCATAAATGATGTATCTTTAAAAATAATTAGATTCGTTTAACTTCGACAAAATTAAAAGAAGAAAAAAATCATGTGATTTATTCTTAGAATAATTACCAAAAACTAGACATCACCGACGGAGTGTGGGGATTAGGAACATAAAGTTCCAATACTCAGCGGAAAAAGGAAGTTTGGTTTTGTTTGGTTTGTCACGTTTGTAGCAATGCAGGCTACCACACGTTTTTTAGATTTTTTTTTTCCGCCACGTTTTATAGGGACACGGATGTTATTTGATATTATAATTTTAGTTTAGCCTATTAATTCATTTCAAATTATTAAATAAACATTCACTGTGTTTTATTCGGCACAATATGACTTTGTTTCCTCAAGTAGATGAGCAGTGCAGGGAAACGTTTTGAAATTGAAAATATATAAATAAGCAGAAAGCAGTTATGGGGTCGTTTAAAATATTATTTTACTCTGTTTTTCTTTTTTCAAAAGGTAAGTAATGCCCAAGTTAATTAAACATTTAAATTCTTGTCATATGGCCTGGTCCTAGGAATTAGTCATATGCAAACATTTGATTACAATTTAGAAGAATTTCAGCAAAAATAAAATAAAATAAGTGAAAGTCGCGCCCACCAATAACGTGGGAATTGATTCGGTCCGATTCCATGGACCAGGAAAAATGATCATCGAGGTCGAGAAAATAATTTTGAATTCTCTAACTTAATTTATCAAAACAAGGAAAAAAAAGAAAAAGAAAATCATTAATCAATTTCGATAAAAATCAAATTAACATGATGAGGGGAAGAATCACATCGTCATGTTCTTCGTCTCCCTTCGGAGATATTATAGATACTTTTTTTGTTGCATTATACTCCAAAGAAGATTGTTTTTTATGTAGATTTTTCTTTTTTTAGTAGGTGTTGTAGATTTTCTTTTGGAAAAAAAATCAAATTATTATGTTAATTTTATTTTTGCGGGGTAGATTGTCTTGAAAACTTCTAGAATGTTGATGTTGCAGTGTCGTGTTCTCCTTCTCCCACAGTTCAAGACAAAAAGCATGGCATGCGCAAATTAGTTGAACGTTATGATTTCAAAATTGAACTAAAAAGGCATAGCGTACCAATCATTGTATTTTTGAACTAATTTTATTAAATTAATTGATATTAATTTATGTTGGTGCTGAACAAATGGCAGGAAACGTCCACGGGAAACAAGTACGGTGGTCTTACTCCCAAGAAGAAGCCTTTAATTTCCAAAGTAAGCCAAATACCACGTTCTCATTCCTTATCAGCTCCCGTGCCATGCACGCGACGCCAACATTATAATATAATATTTTAAAATAGTTTTGAAATGTAGAGAAGATACTGATTAAATTTAAATGGTGTGGTTATTGTGGATAAAGGATCACGAACGAGCATTTTTTGACTCGGCAGACTGGGCATTATGCAAGGTTTGCCAATCTTCTATCTAACTGAAATTCTTTTTTTTTTTAATATTTACCTCTCATATTTTGACCATGAAAAAAGGAATGATTTTAATATTTTAAAAAACAGCAAGGCGCTGGAGTGAATAAAAAATCCACAGCAGCCATAGAGACGTTACGACCGAAACTACAGGTTCGAATTTTAAACTGCTTTAATCCTTAGATGTTCTTCATTCTTTATTTATTTGCTTACTATTGGACTTTTGCAGAGGACACCTCACCAGCAGCTTCCTCCGAGAAGACCAGCCTGTACCTCTGGACCAGGTAATATGGTGATCTTTAATTTATTAGTCGATTTGATTATTGATAGTAATTAAGAATGTTGTGAGTTAAGACGTGTTTTAATTTGCGATGATCAGGGGGAGTAGAGGAGACCTGAGAAGAAGTCAAGAGGAGCTGGTGAATGCGGTTGATGACGTGGCTAATCTCTGTGTTTTTGTGGATGAAATCATGTGCGTACATTTCCCATTGGGGCTTCCATGCTTTCAATAATCTTACTAGTTTCGACGAACTCCATCCTTTTTGCCTTTCCAGCCAATATAAACACTGACACGACCATTTTTAATCTCCCGGGCTTATATCTTAATCACTTCATCGAGTAATGACCTAAGACAAGATCAAAATTAGTAATCGGCTGCCCAAATAAATAAATAAATAAATAAGTAAAAACTAAAAAGTAATGGCCTGAGAAAACAACAACCAGGTGGAGGGGTAAGAGGGAATCGTAAGGCCCACACAACTACTTAGCCCACGGAATATATCGCAATTTGTTTACCAAAACAAAACTGTTTTCCTTGATACAATTGTTGTAGCACCAGAAAAATTGAGATAGTCATTAACTTTTCCCCCTGATCTGTTATGCATATCATGTATTTAGTTTTTTATTGTCGTTGTGTGGGAACTTGGCTTACTGATGCATGTTTGGATAAGGAGAAATATTTTTCATGACGGAAAGAAAAAAAATTATCAAGAAACATATGAAATAATAAATATGAGCGTGTTTGAAATTATTCTTATTTTATTATTTCTAAGAACTGATATTTTATATAATATGTTTTGAGAATAAAATAATAAAAATCAGTATTTTTTTTATTTTTTTCTTTCAAAACATTTTTGAAAACATATTACTAAACTAATTTTTTACTTTTTTAAATATAAAACTATTCTCAAAACAATTATCAAACATATCCTATATTTCTCTCTGTTTTTTTTTTGGAAAACACTTTTCTATTTACTGAATATTAAATACATTAGTATTGTCATGGTGTTTTAGTATTGTTATAGTGTTTGATTTTGATTTTGTTTTACGATGTTCAGCAGGGTGTTGTAGTCGGACCAGTTCTGTGTATTTTTACCTTTTACACTTTGTTCATAGGTAAGTGTGTGTTTAGTTTTTAATTTATTAAAAATTAATTTAATGAAAATTTATTTGTAAAAATTAGTTTGATGAAATAAGTTATTATAACAAAATTTATATTTGAATATATTTCTTAAAAAATTAATTTGACAAATTGAAAGTTATTTGAATTAATAAAAATTTGTGCTTTTGAAATATACTTTTTAATATGTAATAATCAAAAAGATATTAGTTTATGATAATTTATAATTTTTATTATACAAATATAATATATTAGAAATGTTTAAAAAAAGTGAAACAAATTTAAAATAACATAAATTTAAAAAAATATTGACTACTTTGAATTTTAAATTTGAAAAAATAAAATAAAAATCTCCTAATTGATATTTCATTTAAATTAATTTTATAACAAATAGACAATGATATTTTATTGTAACTTATACTAATATTTTAAAGGTTCAAAGTTTGAAACCTTCTTAGCAATAGGTTGATTTTGTTTTGTTTTAATAATGAAGAAATTATCAAGATGCTCTTACCTTTTATGATGTAAAAAGAAAATTTTGGAAACTTCTCTATAATTTTTTCAATTGTTTTTTGTTCAGATCTTTTTTCCCTTAAGTGACACGCACACAGACAAGAGAGAATGAGGTGTTCTGAAAAGCACACTAAGCAAGCCGAGCACGAGAAGACAAAACTAACGAGGGGGGTATCATAGTCAATTAAAATAATAGGTATCAATAATTAATGCATGTTGTCTAAATTTTTACAAATCTAGCTTTTGAATTTCTCCATTACAAGCTCATTCTCAAAGGCCATATTTGGTACGATGGAAAGTTTTTCAAATGGAATCAGAATCGGAATCGAAATCGGAATCGGATTTGGAATTGGAATTGAATAGAATTGGATTTAAAAGTGTGTTTGATTGATGATGGAATCCTGATATAATTTTAATAATAGAAGTACTTAAAATAAGAAAAGACTAAAGTGTCTTTTAAATTAAAAAAAATTATATTGGAGGAGAGAGAAGGGGCAAGTGGAGAAAAGGACCATGATTGGATTCCTGATGATGTGATAGAATTAAATTCTGCCAAATTTTCTTGAATCCTGATTCCAAAGAATCATAATTATTGCTACCAAACCACAATGTTAACAGATTTTATGTCCAATTTTTTTCTTTCTCCATGATTCCAAGCTACCAACGGGCCAAAGTTTTTTTTAGAAGTCAATTCTATGTGATTTTTAATTTCAAAACAACATTTAACTTTTTAAAAGTAAAAAGCAACTTTTAAATGCTAAAAGCAGTGAAACCAAATGTACCCTGAGTCTTGTTCGTTGACACCAAGCATCTCATAGATATTCATTAATCAGGGAAGTTAGACTAATTAGCTCTCATGGCTATAAGCATGACCACGACACTACCTTACCCAATAAAATGTCAGTCGATTAGTGAGAGTTGGTCTAGCAACTATCTAATCTTTCTGTGTTTAGAAGAAGTGTTAGCATTTAATATATGATAGTATCTCAAATAAAATTATCTTTAATAAGAGAGTACCTATACACATTTATAAAAAAATACCACATCTTACAAATTAAACAAATCAACCTAATCATACATGCTCAGTAATTAGAAAATCTTGTGTGGTAGTACCTCAAAAATAAAATTGTCTCTAATAAGATAATACTCACACACATTTAAAAAAAAAATATCAAGTCTTGCAAATTAAAAACAAATCAGCCTAATTATACATGCTCAGTAATTAGAAAATATTGTGCATGGCATGCGTGACCAGCCTAATTATATAATTTTTTAAAATAATATTTAGATAGAGAGAACATGATCTGAATTAAATTTAATTCGTTGTTATATGTTGTGGACCATGGCCACAAACCCATCCCTCTTTTCCCCCCCTCTGCTTGGTATTTTGGATCTGGAAACTCTATCACGTTTGTTGTGTGCGCGGTTGGATGCTTTTAATTAATAATTAGTATTGTTTGGATTGAAAATAATTTATTGGGCCAGATTAAAATGGAAATATGAAAAGAAGCCCAACTCGACAGGTTCCTAGAAGCACATTCTCTCGCTCAGGGTGGGATGAATTCACCAAACATTCTAGAGGTATCTAAGTTGTACCTTTTGTAGTACTGGATCTTGGATTCCATCTTTTGCTCTTCAGGTGCCATGCCTGCCCTTAAAAAAAAAAATCCAAATAATCGACTGGCTAACGGCAGTTAACGATCATCGACATGTCCATTTTTGCAAACCAGAGAGACATCCGTTTCATTAATTTCATTTCTCTATGCTTAAGTGTCATTCACAAAATATTTAACATTATACGTGTTCATTCTTACCCACGATAAATGGATCCATCTTAGGTGCTCATCAGTGTAATATAATTTGGACCCAGATTTTTAAAAAATTAATTTAATTTTTTATTTATATTTTTTTAAATAATTTTTTAAATAAATATAACAAAGTTTTAATAATTCTTTTCACGTCTAATCTAGTCCATATTGGATCTGGAAAGGTTCAATTTGATATTACATTTTTATATTTTTTTATATATTAACTATTTAGATGTATTCTTTATATTTCAGATTAAAATTTTTGACTTGTAATTTTTTAAAAAAGTTATAGTTAAAATATTATATATTTTATTTTTTAGCACTGTATTTATTAAAATAAAAAAATAAAACTTTAAATTTGGACCTTGCAGATAAAAATTAACATTAAATCTAATTGTTCAGAATATATAAAATAATCAATTTAAAGAAATTATAATATTAAATTAGATCATCTAAATCAGATAAGCAATATTCAAATTAATGATGAGAGCATATTTATAAAAATTATAAATTTTTATTTTAATAAATATAAAATTTAAATTTAAAAAATTAGGAATCTGGATGAACCCACTTGTTTCGATTGATGAGCGCCTCACCGAAGATGGACTCACATATATAATATATTGTCTGGTCAAACAACATCCCTTCTCTGTGTTTGGTTTCAGTACTTATCAAGTCATGAACATCTAAAAAATTTGGACGATTTTTAAATTTAATTATATATTTTTAAAATATAAAATATAAAATTTTAATAAATATTTTATCATTAATCTAAATAATATAGGTTTAACTTGAATGGTTTCATTTAATATAATTTTTTTTAAATTTTTATAAATTAATTATTTAAAATATATCTGAATAGTGAATTTATAAATTTTTTTAAAAAAATTAATATTAAATTAATTAATTATATTTATTAAATTTGTATTGGTAAGATTGATAATAAATAAATTTATTAAAATTTTACATTTTATATTTTAATAAAATATAAAAGTAAAGTTGATAAATCTTGGCGGTCCAGATTTTTCAGACTGCTCTCCTCTCGTGCTAATCACCGAAACCGAACGCCGATAACCATCAGCAATGGCTCCCACACGGCACAATTTGATTCGTTCTCACCACGCTGCCCCCGCAGGCTCATTTTGTCTATTTTCCTGGCCAAGAATCAAGATTCCATCACGCGCCAACAATACAAGATAATTTGAGATAAGCTAATACATATAATATAGTTTAATAATGATATTTTATAAATTAAACTTATTTTTTAAATAAAATAAACTTATAAAAATGATCTTCATTAAATATAATTTTAAATCTATACAGTTAATTATTATATTATAATTATTTTAAATCTATTTATTTAAAGGATACTATTAAACAAATACTATTAATGAAATTTTTTTTTTATCAAATTATTTTTATATTTGGAATAATCAAATACTTTAAAAAATATTTTATAATTTAGGATGCAATGACTAATGAGCTTATAGGATTAAAAAGTCGCAGGCAATTTTAGTTACTTTTCAGAGGACTATGAACATGAGTATCACTACTACAGAATATATCTTTAGGTGCGATATTTAGAAGTGTTTCTTTAAAAAGTGCTCTAAAAATGTGAATGCAAATTTATCAGAGTACTTTTCTAAATAAGCGCTCATATATGTCAAGGTTTCTCATAAGATAACGCTCCTAATTAATATAAATAAAATATTATAAAAAATTAAAAAGACCTTTGGGAGCGCTCGTAGTTAAGCTCTCCGGAAGAAACTATCTTCCGGAGCGCTCTTGGAGAGCCCTCCGGAAGAGAGATA